ACCGCGGTTGTCCCCGAGTGCCACACGTATTTTTTTTCCTGTTTACACTTCAGCCCAGAAATAGAGACAACTTGAATGATCCATAATTTATTTTTGGTTTTTACGTGCGTTTATAAAATCGTGTTTTCCTAGTTTTTTTTTACTATTTATTTATTATTTTGCTCTCGAGCCAGCATAACACGGAGTACATACTTTATTTAAAATTAATTTCAAATTTAATACATTAATAGAAATGCTGTTTTAGTGTGTTTAAGGAACTTCAATGTCATGTCTCTCAGAGGAGGGAGTTAATTGTAGTTGCGGCACAGTTTTTAATAACTAGGTAGAATAGAAATTATTATCGTGCATGTTTATTATGTTCACTGTTTTTGATCAAAAAATATATTTTATATTAACAGGGTAAAGTATAAAAACCATTCCATGAATATCATAGCAAATCAAAGCAAAAATTATATCAAAATCGAAATTCTATTGAACTAATGTATCTAAACATTTACATTAAATTATTCCTTTCGTTTCAGGTCCTTCAATAGGCCTATTGCTCAGCTACCTCGGAGCCTGTGTACTGCTTGTGGCTGAATCGACAATATAAATGTAAAAAAAAACATTTTTTACATACCCGTTCAGAAAGTGTTTTAACACAAAACAAGTGAGGAGTGCTTAGGACACAGTTTGAACATGGTTTTAACTTATCTTTTGTAAAACAATAAAGCCACGAAAAAGAAAAAACACTATATTTATCTACATTGTGCAAACATCAATGTAAGAATTATGAATTCAAAGTTACTCAAAATTAAGTAACTCAGAATTGCTGTCAGGCACTTGAACATCGTTATGGGTGCGGTCTCACGTATGACGTTATTTTAGTTACGTCATCACTATAAGTAATACACTTCTGGACACATCTATTGGCCTACCTTGTATTTTCAGTTTCGTTTGGTCCTAGCTAAAATTTTATATTAAGTCGAGCAAAAAGTTTTTATGCAGTTTTGAACCTGGCACATTCACAATTTCATTCAATAGTCTTTTTTTGAATTTCGAACACAGAATTTAAAGAAACAAAAGACAATTTGGAGCCTGTTTGTTGATATCAAACAATCGAATACTAAGAAAACTTGGTTTTATTGGTTTACTTGGATTTAATTCTTGAAAAAGTGATTGATATCTTTGGTTTTGCAACAAACATTACTTATTCTTAACATTAAGGTGAGATTCTATCAATAATCTATGGATACTTCACCTGAAGTCGCCGCCGGAGCTGTGGCACTTATTCAAGCCGGACACAGCCAAAGAAACGTGAGTGCTCAACTTAATTTAAGTCGATCTCCGGTCCGAAATGTTTATCGAAGGTACCTAGAGACTGGCGACTTTGTTCGTCGCCAAGGAAGGCCACGATCTCGGGTCACAACTGAAAGGCAGGATCGATTCATCGTGACGACCAGCTTGAGAAATCGTTACCTTACCTCCATTGAGATATAAAAACAAATTCGCGACTTCCACGGAGTATCTGTGAGCGCTCGAACTATTCGGAGAAGGTTAAAAGAACGCGATATGGTACCACACAAGCCAGCTAATGGGCCCAAACTAACGCGAGCCCACCGAACAGCGCGCCTTCATTTCGCACGCAGTCATTTAAATTGGACACAGCAAGATTGGAGCCGTGTACTCTTTTCTGATGAGTCTAAAATTGTGTTACATGGCAATGATGGAAGGAAGAAGGTCTACCGATGTAAGAGAGAGCGTTTCGCACAATGCTGCTTTGAAGAGAGGGTTGCTTATGGCGGTGGCTCATGGGCTGTCTGGGACGGTATATCCGCGAGCGACATAACTCAACTTGAGGTTGTTACAGGACCACGGCTGCCAACATTAAATGCTGAAAGGTACATTCGTGAGTGCTTAGAACCTCACGTGATACCATACGCGGACTATGTGGGCCCAAATTTCCTTTTTATGCATGATAATGCAAGAGCCCATGCGGCCGGCATCGTCAGAGAATATCTTCGGGATGTGAACATCACAGTTATGGACTGGCCAGCCAGAAGCCCAGACATGAACCCCATTGAGCACATGTGGGACGAGCTAAAAAGACGTGTTAGGGCTCGTCAGCCAGTTGCCCAGACGATGCAGGAGTTGAAAACTGCCATAGAAGAGGAATGGGAGATGATCCCTCAAACTTTCATAGAGCGGTTGATAAACTCTATGCTTAATCGTATGAGAGCTGTGGTAGATGCCCATGGAGGCTACACGCGTTATTAAATTAAACCTTTATTTGATAAAACAAGTTTTTTATTCAAAAATCAATTGCCTTTAACAAGGCGCATATCCGACTTGTTAGGCGTAGCTTCATGTCGTATGGTATTCTGAATTCAAATTTAAAACAATACGATAGAGAAAAATTTTAAAATGTATCAGGTTTAAAACTGCATCAACAGTTTTTGTTCAATCTAGCAATCATATTGCGGTAGGGGCCATCGAAACCTAAACTCTAAGGTGGGCCAATAGATGTGTCCAGAAGTGTACTATTTATAATACCTCTAAAGCAGGACTGGCGTCAAACCTGTTATAAATAAAAATAACTAAGCTCTGGGTAAGCTCTCTACATGGTAAATCTCATCTCTGTTCTCGGGTTGGATAGTGACCAAGAACAAACCCATAGAAAAATAAACATATAGGTACCTACCAATTTCTATATATTAGGTACTTACATAAGTACATACGTATGTCGGTGTATGTTTATAATATGAGGAGCTCGATGGCGCAATGGTTAGCGTGTTCGATCAGCGATAGTGTAAGTTAAGCAACTTTTTCAATGGCCGGTCATTGAATGGGTCACCAAAAATTTACTATCTCAAGCTGCCTTGTGCTTCAGATGAACGTCAAGCCTGGTTCGATCTGGTTACATTTGCAATCGGTAACACCGACCATTCCGTACCGAACTCATATGATGCGCTATCACTCATACCTAGAAATAATGTATAACCCGTTCTCACTATTCCATACATAGGAAAGGCATGTGCCTCATCAATGGGGGCATTTGGCTGATGATGGAGGAACATTTTAAGAGTTTTAATGTTTTTTTTTATGTTAAAAGGGTGGCAAGCGAACCTGTCGCCCGCCTGATTGGAAGCGGCCACCATAGCCTTTAAAAACGCTTGCGAAACCAAAAATAAAAGAATGTAAAATTAAACGATAATACTATCGGTAATAGTCAGTACAAGCGTACTATTTGTAATGCTGCGTTATTAATTTCTGCATAATAAAATTACAACACAGCATTATAATTATCGTTGTAAAAACTACATCTTACAATGCATAAATCAATGCAGGTGAAATTATGTAGTTTACAATGTGGGTGATTAATGAAAATTAATTCATTCGCGTAGGCACGCCACGGCCACGAATCTAGTTAAACGATTGTTTGACTGTTTTTTACTCGTTATTGATTTATATTATGCATGTATTCAGAAATGGTTTATTACGTAGATTGGTCAAATTCAAATAAGCAGCAGAGGACATTTAAATGGTAAAATTTTTAAATGTTAATAATACACATGACAAATTTATCAAGTGGGTACGCAAAGCATCTACACTATATAATATTAAAAATTCGAAAGTGTGTCTGTCTGTTAACTTTTCAAGCTTGAACCGCTGAACTGATTTTAATGTTATTGATATAGAGATAGTTTGAGTTCCGGGGAAAGACATAGGATAGTACGTTATTTATTTTTAAGGGGTTGAAATAAGTTGGAACTTTGTATGGGAAACAAATCAAACCAAGCAGACGAAGTTACGCCCACTACTTACCCACTAATGGGTGCCCACGTTATTGAAATGCTCTGAGGTTGAGTTAATTTTTCACAAATTTACGAATACAATGATTAGAAATCAGTATATTATTGTTTAAAACTTTCATAAGCACCCCTTTTTGCTCATGGAGAAGTCAGATTTTGCATAAAGCATTAAAAATTTTGTTCAGCAGTTTATCCACCTAATACGTAAAACAGACAAACAGACTCGAAGGAGTGGAACTTATTCCCACAGAAATAAATAAATTACTGTGGGAATAAAGGTAAAATTCTAAGCAGTAAAAATCGCAAGTTACCACATTATACTTCCAATAATGGTGATCATTTTACACAAAACCATTGAATTCGCAAACAGGACAAACTAATTTAATATTATGTAATAAGATAACTTTGAAAGCAGACAAAGTTAGCCACGGTTACTATTATCTAATCTGTTGGTTATACCACGTTATACTTACTATACATAATGGTGTCTTCACAATTTAAAATTTGTATTTTATTATTATTTACATATTAAACTTCTTCGTGTCATAAATATCTTTCGCGGAGCTGAGGCGCTATTTTAAAAATACAATCTGACAGCAGTGTTCTGCTTAGAAATATGAGCGGTTACGCTGCATTCTGTTTTTCTTTGTCTCCCAGTCTGTGACATTTCAATTTCATAAATAGACTGTATAGTAGTCTGATTTTCAGTACATTACTTACTATCTTAATTAAAGCGCATAACTGATAATTTCGTTATAGGTAGGTGTTTAACATGCCTACATTCCGTGAAAGTTCGCAAGATATATACACGAATCACATGTACTTATCAAAAAGAATTTGATACTGTGTTTTTATTGTTTAATTAATAGAGCATATTACCAATGTTGATTAATGAAAAAAAATATTTAATCTAGGTAATTACTGGAATAATGCATTACACCAATCTGATTTAATTAAAAATCAAGTTTCAACTGAAGCTGTCAGATTTGAGCAAAAATTGAAATCTGCCTTAGAAATGGATTTAAAGCTAAAATTAGACAGATAAATAACAATTATGATATATTAGTTTTGTACCCAAATTGTGTATCTTATCACTTTTGGAAGCGTTATCCACTGATTTAATATTGGATTTAAAGCAAGAAATCAATATACTGGTTTCAACAATGCCTTGTTTTTTAAGCTAAATAACTAAAAATAAAAAATACTTACCTAGGTTTAATTACTCTGAAACTTCAGCCGGACTCACTAGTACCACGCGTTACCGGGTACGTCTCACTGCCTGTTACAGTGAAGTCGAGTGCCCCGTCCAATCACCGAGACGGCCAGCACCAAACTGATTGCCGATTTTAACATCAGCTCAGCTGCATTGCATTGATCAGAAGAAAGAGTTGTCATGATCTCAGTGGTAGCAGAAGGTTTTATTTGCAATTAATTTGTAGTAAACCCTGATAACTTTAATGGTTAAAAATATCAGTTAATATTTTTATTCAAATGCAACATCTGAAATTTTTTCACAAGTCAATATTTTTATTAGTTCGGCCTGTGATTGAAATTATTCATAACGATAATTTAATCAGTTGGTTACATATATACTATACGAATTAATATTTTTTAAAACCAACATGAATGAATATTTTTAATCGATATGGTTGAAAATTGTTATCGAATATATGTGTTAATTTTTTTATTAGTTGAATTTAACGGTCGATAAATATATTCAACAACTCTACTATGTACCTTAAACCGTATGGTTTTCGATGCTGTTTAAGTTTTCTTACCTTTTTTCTAAAACACTTGGATTTGAGGACATTAGGGAAAATTAAGAAGCTAGATTTTATATTTCACCCCTAAGTCACTGAACCTGATATGATAAATTTAGGAATGAAGATCGAGATAACAAGGAGTTCTAACACGGACAAATTTTGGCTATTTTAGCTAGTTTTAGGTACCTACTTAACTGGACAAACAACTATTTAATTAAATATAAAATAAATTTACAACTTAAATTAAATATAAAATATTTAATTTAAGTACGCAATGTATTTCTTGCCATTCTAGCATTCCAAATTCAAATGTCCTTAATATATATATATATATATATATATATATATATATATATACACACATATATTAAATATTAAAATATATTAAAAGCGTAATCTCAAGTGCTCCGTGAAAGTGCAACGCTTTAGATGCAGGTGGTGAATAAAATATATAACATAAACATAAATACTTGACATGGGTATGAAATTTTATTTGAAAAAATATCAGCTTAAAATCCACGAGCAGGCAATCCCGAAAACGAATCCTTATATTTTAACCAAATTTGATTCCAGTACCAAAAATATATATTTACGCTTTTCGGACTATTGGTTTAATAAAATTTTAACCCATTGGGGATGTCTACTATCCTACATATTTTTTAAATTCGCCTACATTTATATTATCTAAGTGGAAAGCCACCAGCTTACCCGTGCGAAGCCGGGACGGGCCGCTAGTATTATAATATAAGCAATCACTTCAGCAGATTACTCTCACCGCCTTGTGTGAGATAATCCTTCTGTAGTTGCTCATGCAGTGTGGCATTAAATCATGTTTACAAAATATTCCTATCTAGGTAAGCTATCGTCATCGCGGCGGCAAGTACGGGCATCAGCGCATAATGTGTAATGCAAATTACATCTTACTACTATAGGTATAATGTTTTCTGCAGGTGTAATCTAGAAGAATTCAATGGCGCAGTGTCTGGCGCACTCAGTCTTGTATTGTGGAAATTAAGTATCTTTCGAAATGGCCGGTCATAGAATGGTGGTAAAAAAATATTTATCTAGCTCCTCCGTGCTGGGGAAGCCACGTTAAGCTGTTGGTGCCAGCTGCATCTGCAATCGTTGGTACCCACTAATCCGTGCTAGGCCTGGGTAGTGATTCATGATCATGACCCATTCATCTTATTCCATCTACATATAGAGAAGGCCTGCCCATCAGTGGGGATATTGATAAGCTAGGCTTATGATAATGATAAAAGCTTTCATCCCCTCTTTGAAGGGTCAATTTAAAAAATATGTAGGATAGTAGACAAAATTTAAAATTTTATTAAATTAATAGTCCGAAAATATATATTTTTGGTACTGGAATCAAATTTGGTTAGAATATAAGGATTGGTTTTCACGATTGCCTGCTCGTGGATTTGAAGCTGATATTTTTCCAAATAAAATTTCATACCCATGTCAAGTATTTATGTTTATGTTATATATTTTATACACCACCTGCATCTAAAGCGTTGCACTTTCACGAAGCACTTGAGATTACGCTTTTAATATATTTTAATATTTAATATATGTGTATATATATATTAATGACATTTGAATTTGGAATGCTAGAATGGCAAGAAATACATTGCGTACTTAAATTAAATATTTTATTAAGTTGTTTGTCCAGTTAACGTTTATTCTTTAGTAGGTACCTAAAACTAGCTAAAATAGCCAAAATATGTCCATGTTAGAACTCCTTGTTATCTCGATCTTCATTCCTAAATTTATCAAATCAGGTTCAGTGATTTAGGGATGAAATATAAAATCTAGCTATGTTACTAGTATTAATTTTCCCTAATGTCCTCAAATCCAAGTGATTTAGAAAAAAGGTAAGAAAACTTAAACAGCATCGAAAACCATACGGTTTAAGGTACATAGTAGTGTTGTTGAATATATTTAATAGGGCTTTAAACTTTATCGTAATGAGAAATTAGTAATAAGGTCTTTTCGACCAGAATCCACTAGACTAAATCTTATTAATAGTCAGCACGAGCACTCTGAAAAAGACCAATAGTAACCTACTTATACCTAAGTACTTTTACTCATTTGTATTCGTAATTTTCAATGCAGTCTTTACGCGGAACAAAACCATTAGGTGTAACTGATTTTGATATTATTTTCCTGCACTCTGAACATGTTTTAAGATATCGATTGTTTAATAATATTCATTTTTATCCTCATACCTTCTACCTACCATTTACATTCAAGGACTTGTTACTGTAACAATGGCGAAGCTTTTGTTATTTTCGTAGGAAACAGTAAAATGATATATCCTTTATAGGGTTCCGTACCCAAAGGATAAAAACGGGACCCTATTACTAAGACTCCAGTGTCCGTTTTTCCATCTGTCCTCATATCTACTACCTACCATTTACATTCAAGGACTTGTTACTGGGTGTTACTGTAACAATGGTGAAACTTTTGTTACTTACGTAGGGTAACAGTAAAAACGGGACCCTATTACCAAGACTCCGGTTTCCGTTTTTCCGTCTGTCTGTCACCAGGCTGTATCTCATGAATCGTTTTTTAGGTAGACACTGGATTTTTTTACAGATGATGTATTCTGTTGTTCTAAAAATATAATAAAGTGAATAATAATGACCTAGGAGCTCCCATACAACAAGTGTGTTTTTTCTCTATATTTATAACGGCAACAGAAAATACTTGAGATATTCACCGAATATTTAGTTGTGTATTCACTTTAAAAATAAATTAAATAATTTAAGGGGCTGTCCATACAAGACGTGGTTTTTGTCGTTTTTGGTACGAAACCCTCCATGCGCGAGTTCCACTCGAACTTGGCCGGTTTTTTCTAGTTTAAGTCCAACTATCTCAATATCAATAGTCTTTTCTTAATTTATTCGTCTATTGCAGCGGTAAAAAATATTTTTATGATATAAGATCAGTTGCATTTTTAGGGTTCCGTAGGAATATTTTGTCTGAGGTGCAGACAACAAAGTGATTTTACGGCGCAAGTGATATTTCTTGTATCGCATGCGTCTATAGGCTATGATGGCCGCTAACACCCAGGAGGGCCATATACTTGTTTCTTCTTCAACCTTTATCTACCCACTGCTGAGTATAGGTCTCCTCCATGGTGCGCCAATTTCAGTTTCTTCCTGCTACTTTGGTGATGTCATCGGACCATCTGGCGGGCTGCCTACCTACGTTTCTGCGTCCTGTTCTAGGTCGCCACTCCACAATAGCTCGACTCCACCTGTCGTCCGTTCTGGGAGCCACGTGACTTCTTCCCTGGGAGATCACGGGCAATGTCGGATAGTTTTGTTCTTTTCCGTATGTCCTCATTGCGTACACGATCTCTCAGGGATACACCGAGTATGATGATATGCTTGTTTACCATCGTTTAAACATAAAAAATATCAACTCGCACTTCTCCGGATTTTTTTTCAATTTAGAACGCCACACTTTGATGTTGTCACAAAATTTCTAGTCATCTTGCAGTATAATGGAATTAGGAATGATAATTTTTTGGCTGCAATGTTTTGTTTCTAAAATAAACACAGCACAATATCGATGGAGAGGAACTTGCAATTCCTGCTTATGCCCTAACTGTAATTACAGCTAAATTTCTTCTGTCAAATACCTAGTCTGCTGTCTTCATCTCTGGGTATGCGATAAGAAGGTACTTAGTTATTTAATGTGGTTTTATAACAGCTTGTCTAACATCCAGCCGAGCGTGACTGCACATCAGAATCGAAAGTACTTAGCCGTTGCTATTGGTACTACTTATCTACTCTGATCTAGATCACGCGAACTTTTAAATTACACAGATCTTTGTGTGAGTAAAGTAAATGAGCAGGTCTTCGATAAATTTATTTGACCGTACGGCAACAGCTACGGAGTTGCCTGCGATTTCCTTTATCTAAAAATAGTTATAATCGCATTTGTCTGTCTGTTTATGTGTTATGCTTTTACGCCTAAGTCCCTGAATTCATTTTCATGATTTGAGTTACACTTATTAACTACTAGCTGTGCCCCGCGGTGTTACCCGCGATTTATTAGATATATATTTCCCGCAGTAAAACGAAGCCTATGTGTTAATCCAAGGTGTCAGGCAACCCCATGCCAAATTTTATTAAAATCGCTCCAGCCGTTTAGACATGAAGAAGTAACAAGCATACACACTCACAAACTTTCGTCTTTATAATATTAGTGTAATGTACGTTAGAATCGTGTGCTACTTAAACCTGTAGGTAACGCAGATATAAATCTGCGCCTCGAGTCCCTACAGCGACGTATAACCGACCATGCATTTGAATATCACAAATATTTTATATTAAATCAGTTTATAGTAAGTATTACAACAATAAAATTTACTTTAAAGGCGTTAATTAAAAAACATTAATTAGCTACCCGTCGCAAAAACGACACTTTACGTACTATTAGTATTTTTCTGTATTTTTTCACAGAACTCTTTGGCATCTTGACTTTTCAACGGTCCGCGATTGAGTGGAGTTCAAGTACTTCTGGATGGGGACACATTTTGAGCGCTAGTGGTGTTT